CCTGTTAATTTGTCTCTGTCAGTTTAATTTTCAGATCTAGCCAGGGAACTCAAGAGGGTTAGGAAATTTTTTCCTCCCCTACACTATTTTCCTAGCTGAGGTTTTCCTTTAAATCAGCACACGTATTCTTGAAAATAGTACCATGGGTAATATAGTATTCTCTATTAGAATTAGTTTCAAAATTCACTTTGAGGAAATTATGGGCTACTTCTAGGACTGAATGTGCATAGAATTAATGATTCCACGGGGGGTGGAGGGTTGGGTGGGATGACGGGGCAGAAAGATAAATTTGAGATTTATCTACTCTTTGAGTGACCTGAGTTCAGAAAGTGGTTGGAGTGAGTTTTGGGTATCCTTAGGGTAATAAGTCACTCGGCTGGTCAAGAGGCAGAATTCCTATGCCTGCCTCAGAAAACAACAGAATGAGGCACTGTGTGGTGTAATACGGATTTCTTTCTAGCAAGAACTTTAAACAACCTCTGTGATATCACAACTGCCACCAGAGAACCCAGAAACGATTCTTCTGTGAACACTATCCAGAAATGCAGCTACAAATAGCACGGATCAATCTAGTTCCTGCTTGAGGAAAGACTACAGACTCTAAGAAAGCTACTGCCACTATCATTAGATGCTGCAGTCACCAGAAACTGCTCCTTCTGCTATGAGAATACAACGTCAGGATGATGAAAAATTTATAGCCCAAACCTCTCTCTTTCTGCCATTTTGGTTCTAGTTACCTTTGAATACAAAGGAGGAAGGCAGAGAAACCTGGTGGAGATGAGGACTCAGACTAGGGTGGGGGGAATCCACTTCTGCCTGTTAGAGAGATCACATATTACATAATTCAAAATTCTAATTCTTGGCAGAAGGAAAGCTTGGAAAAGTGTGGTATACTACCATACAATAACAAAGATTAGGCTCAATATAAATAAGAGAACCTAATCTAGTTAAATCACTACATAAGAGGGGTTTGAAGCCTGTGCAGTTACTACACTAAATCCAAGAAGGAAGACATCTGATAACTATCTAATGTGAACAAACAATGTCATTTTGTGACCTCAGGACTACTGTGGCATTAATAGGTGATGCCATATTAGATGTTACTGGAAGGTTAACTCTAAAGACCTTTACCTGTGGAGACAGACAAATATCTCATTATTAATAAGCCAACACAGGAAGTGACTGCCCAGTTGGAATTGTCTTTTGGGACTAACATACAGGTGGACAGACTCTCCTAAGAATTCTTAGAAACACTCAAAAACTATTCAAATTGACAAACAACGAAATAAAAATAATAGCTTCACATCTCAGTATGCCCCTCCCTCCAAAGACCATGAACTTATTTATAAAAAAGAGATTTAGGATTAAACTGTCTTTCAGATAGCCAGATATTGGCTTAAGATAAAATAATTTTTGCAGAAAAATAAAACCAGGTATTTTACTTCAGCATGGAGGTAGAGAAGTTACAGTATAAGATTATTACTGCAGGTTTTGAGTGATTCTTGTTTACATTTTGAATAACTGGTAATTCTTAGCTGTAACTGCAGTCTGCCAGAGCTCTAATGTAAATAAGTTCTGGTTCAATGGGGTGTTTTTGTTGGTTTGTTTGTTTTTTGGTGAGGAAGAATGGTCCTCCGGTAAGATCTGTGCTAATCCTCCACTATTTTGTATGTGGGACACTGCCACAGCATGGCTTGATGCATAGTGTGTATGTCTACTCATCATGGCATCCAAACCCGTGAATCCCAGGCCACCAAGTGGAATGTGCACACTTAACCACTATACCACTGGACTGGCCTGTCAATGGGTTGTTTGTACTTGCCAAACAAAATAAAAATGCCAGGGACCGGCCCAGTGGCGCAGCAGTTCAGTTCGCACATTCCACTTTGGTGGCCTGGGGTTCACTGGTTCGGATCCCCGGTGCGGACATGGTGGCGCTTGGCAAGCCATGCTGTGGCAGGCATCCCACATATAAAGTAGAGGAAGATGGGCATGGATGCTAGCTCAGGGCCAGTTTTCCTCAGCAAAAAAGAGGAGGACTGGAGGCAGATGTTAGCTCAGGGCTAATCTTCCTTAAGATAAATAAACAAATGAATAAATAAAATAAAAACCCCAGCCACTAATTCTCATTATTTTCTCCCTCTTTCTTGGAGACCGGCAGTTTTGCTGCAAAACTCTCTCAAGGTTTAGGTAATAATGTACCTGTTATTATCTTCTTAATATAAAGAGATTAAGTAACGACAATGGAAAAACTAGCAGCAAGTCTTTTAAAGAAATAGAAGATACATACACAAACATACACCAACTTGCTTATAAAGCTAGTGATAATACTAACTTATATTGAAACAAAACGAGCACCCACTGGAACAGTTTTCTCTTTGCTAGCTTGCTTATAAAAGTGCCTATATAGCTAATACATTAAAATCCTGAGCAAGTTGAGAAATAACAATTATTCACTTAGTTTGCAATTGGGGTATTTATTCCTAGATATAGGTATAATTGATTTCAAATGTGAGTTAGTTTTACTATAGATATAAATATGTAAAAAAACAAACTTTCAGTTCTTGCCATGACAGAATAAATGGAATGGCTTGCTTTCTTACTATAAACGACTAGAAAACTGAACAAAATATATAAGATAACATTGGACAACGGGCAGTGCAGAACTGTGATCCCTAGGAGAAGAGAAACAAATGAGGTGAGTCCTATAATCACCCTGGCTTTCTGCTTGAAGGGAATTTCTGGACCCCACAGTAAGAAGGGGAATCCAAATAGAGCACAGGAATCTAAGCAGACCACAGCGGACTCACTAAGTTGCGGAGACAGAGATGGAAGTTCAGGGTATCTGTAGGGCAGCTGGAATCTGTAGGGCAAAGCACCATAGAGGAGAAAGCTACGTGAAGTAGAGCTCCAGGAATCTGCACAGAGGTCCTCTTGACTGCATGTCAGAATAATAAACTGCACATGCATACGGTGAAACTACAGAAGGCCAGGAAAATGACAATGAACAGAGAAACTACAACTATTGAGAATCTATAACATTAACCAACGCCAGAGTTCACACAGGGTTAGGAGTTGTCTGAATTTGACCAGCCAGAGTCAAGAGACCTCAATGAATACTCAGGGCATTTAGCAGAGTCCCCAGAAGGGCCATGCTTTACTAGTAGGGCTAAACTAGCCTTAAGTAAATGCTTCTGTAGACCATGGATGGGCAAACTGTAGTCTCTGGACCAAATCCAGCCCACTGCTTGTATTTCGTATTTCAGTCTTACTGGAACACAGCCACAGTCACTTGTTTACATATTGTCTAAGGCTGCTCTTATACTACGGTAGCAGAGCTGAGGAGCTGCAACAGAGATATCATGGCCTACAAAGCCTCAAATATTTGCAATGTGGTCCTTTAAGAAAAAGCTTACTGCTACTTCAGAGTCACCCTGATAAAGCTTAAAAACAAGAGTCAAAAGAATCAAGCTTATCTCCAAAAACTTAACTTTTCGCCAAAACAAACTTCAATACTCTTTAAAAAATTCAACAAAATCCAGACATTCAACAATGAAGCATTCACAATATACAGCAGTCAAGAGGCAAAAAGCATGACCTATAACCAGGAAAACAAACAGACAAAATCAATGAATAGAAACAGACCCAGAAATGACAAGAGACAATGGAAGTAGCAAATGAGGACTTTTAAAGCAAGTATAATTATGTTCAAGTACGTAAAGGAAACAATAAACTTAATGAGAAAAGAAATGGAAGACGTCATTATAAAAACCAAATGGAATTTTTCCACATGAAAAATATATACTATCTGAAATGAAAAATTTACTGGATGGGCATAACAACAGAAGAGACACCAATAAATAAAGCACCAACAAATTTGCCAACACTGGCAAAAAGAATCCAAATTGAAGCAGAGGCGAACAAAGCTGGGAAGGAAAAAAAAAAGATTCGCATTTTAGTGACCAACAGGACAACATGCAATCTAAAACTTTGTAACTGGAATCCCAAATGGAGGAGAAGACACAGAAAAATTATATGATGATATAAGGCTAAAGGTTTTCCAAACATGAAAACTATAAACCCACAAATCTAAGAAGCTTAATATCCAAGCAGGAAAAAAAAAAATGAAAGACCACATCAAGGCACATTATAAACTGCACAAAAAAGAGTAAGAAAGAGAAAATCTTGAAACTGCCAGAGGACAAAGACACACATTATATAGAGAGGAACAAGACTACCAATTTGTCATCAGAAGCAATGCAAGCCAGTAAGACGATATCTTTAAGACGAAGAAAAAAGAAAATTGTCAATCTAGAAATATTATTCAAAAATAAAGATATTTTCAGGTAAACTAAAGCTGAGATAGCAGCAGATCTGTGCTGTAAGAAATTGTTAAAGGAAGTTCTTATACCACATGAAAACTCAGATCTAAACAAAAGGATGAAGAGTGCTGGAAATGATCAATATGTGTATAAATATAAAAGATATTTACTTCCTTGGTTTTTATTTTCTTAATAATTTTCTATTTAAAGTAGAAATAATAACAATGTATTATGATTATTCTAACACAGAAGTAACATGTATGATAGCAGAAGTACACAGCATAAAAGGAGAAGAGAGAAGTCTGTTATTGTAAGGTTCTTCCATAACACACAAAGTGGTGTAATCTGAAGGCAGATTGTGATAAGTTAAACATGAATATTATAAACTTTAGAGAAACTACTAGAAAAGTAAAAGAAATAGTATAGCTAGTAAGCTAGTAAAGGAGATTAAAGTGAATTCTAAAAATACTCAAAAAAAAAAAAGAAATAGAATGAGGAACATGGGGACATAGAACAGACAGGACAGATAGCAAGATGACACACAAATACCCAACAATATTGAAAAGTAAATGTAAGTGGTCTAAATACTATAATTGAAAGGCAGAGATATAAGACTTCCTAAAAGAGCGAGACCAACTCTATGATATCCACACGAAATACCCACTGAAAAAAAAAGACGTAAAAGGAGAAGAAAAATATATCATGCAAACATTAATCTTAAGAAAGCTGGGATGGCTCTACTAATATAGAAAAAGTAGACTTCAGGACAGGGAATATGACCAGGGATAAAGAGAGACATTTTATAATTAAATAAGGGTCAACTTATTTTTTAAAAAAATCCTAAATGCATATTTATCTAAATCAGAGCATCAAAATACACGAAGCAAATACTGACAGAACTGAATGGAACAGATAAGTCCCAAAGTTAAGTAGACAGAAAATCAATAAAGATATAAAAGACTTGAATAATACTATCAAAAACAAATTAAGCAAATTAATATTTACATAACATATTACTTAAGGGGCAAAAATATGCATTATTTTCAAGGACATCTGAACTATTCAGCAAGAGAAGCATGTGCCAGATCATTAAACAAACTTCAATAGATTTAAAGACTGAAATTATACAAGTATGTTTTCTGACCAAACAGAAGCAAAGTAGAAAACAACAACAAGACACCTGGAAAAATCCCCAAATATTTGGAAACTAAAAAACACACTCTTAAATAACCCAGGGCTCAAATAAGAACTCACAGGGAAATGAGAAACTATACTGAACTAAAAGATAGTGAAAACATATTAAAATTTGTATAATGCAGCTATAACAGTGTTTAGATAGAAAATTATATCTCTAAATGCTTATATTAGTGAAGCAAAAAGGTTTAACATCAATGATGCAATAACTTTCAGCTTAAGAAGCTAGGAATAAAGCAAAGTACACACGGCATAAGTATAAACATGGTAGTAATAAAGAGTAGAAATCAAAAAAATAAAAACACGAAAACCAAACTAATTCTTGAAACAAAATTGATATATCTCCACAAAAACAGAGAGAAAGTATACGTTAACAATATCAGAATGAATGAGGGGATATCACTAGACATCAACGGATATTAAAAAGATAGAGAACTAATATAAACAACTTTATGCTAATAAAATTGACAGATAATGAATAAATTGTATGAAAGATGCAAATTCCTAAAGATGACAGAAGAAAGTAAGTCAGAAAATAGAGAAGGAACACTTCCAAATGCAGTTTATAAGTCAAACAAAGCTAGAGAAAGACATTATTTAAAAAATTACAGACTAATTGCCTTCATAAACAGATGTCAAAACTCAACAAAATACCAGTAACAGATTTCAGTGATATTGAAAAAGAATAATGCATCATGCCCAAATGGAATTTATCCAGATTAAAGAAAAAATAATGAATGCAATTCACCGCCTTAGCAGAAAAGAAGAGAAAAATCATGTAATCACAATCAACACAGAAAATGCAACGGATAGAATTCAATACCTATTCATAATAAAAACTCTCAGCAAACTAAGAAGAGAGAGAAATTTCCTCGAGGTGATAAGGAACACCTATGAAAAACTTCCAGCTAATGTTATACTTAACAGTGAAATGTTGAACTCTTTCTTCTCAGACTAGGAGCAAGGGGAGGATGCTTGCTTTCACCACTTCTATTTAAGGCTGTTATTAGAGGTCGTACCCAGTGCAACAGTCAAGGAAAAGAAAGAAAAAGCATACAGATCAGAAATGAAAAGTAAAATTGTATTTATTTGTAAATGACATGATTGCTTAAGTTGAAAATCTTAACAAATCTTAAAAAAAGCTACTAGAATAAATGGAGCTAGCAGGGTTGTCAGATACAAAGTCACTATATCAAAGACGATATATTTCTATAAGTCAGGAACGAATAATTAGCAAACGGAATTTTTTAAACAATCATTTATAATAGCAGCAAAAACATGAACCAATTAGAGACAAACCTAAAATATAAGTAAGACCTGCACACTGAAAATTCTAAAACAATGCTGAGAGATATTAAATAAAATCTAAATAAATTGACAGATATATCAAGTTCATGGACCAGAGGCTCCCATAAAATAAGGATGGTTTTATGTGTAAGCCTTGGTACCCATGATGATAAACAACATTTTTCTTAACCAGAAGTAATATAAACCTATTAAATAAACTCAGAATATACCCCTTTCCTTAGTTTCTTTTTCCAAATGTTAAGTTTGTATTAAACTGACTTCTACTTCTCTCAGAATAAGAATATTGAATAATTTTACAGAAAAAATGGAAACAAAAAAAGATTTTACATTAATGAATTTGAATATTTAAACCAAGTGGAAAAATTCCTATAAAAAACTTACCAAAATCGATCAAGAAGACATAAGAAACATGAATCATCCTACAGGCATTGAAAAAAAGAATCAACTGTCAAAAATTTTTTCTACCTCAGGCTTACACGACTTTACCTACAAGTTCAACCAAATATTCAAGAAAGGAGTAATTCTAATCTTAGACAAATTTTTCCATATAAAAGAAAGGATCATGCCTTAACTTGTTTTATGAAGCTAACATAACTATGAAATCAAAATGTGGCAAGGGCAAGGCAAAAAAGGAAGACTACAAGCCAATGTTATTCAGGAAAATATATTTAAAAATCCTACCCAAAACATAGTAACAACAAAATTTTAACAATATATAAGGATATTATATCTTGACCAAATTGCACTTATTCCAATCATGTAAGATTGGATTAATACTAGATATAAAAATGTTATCACATCAATATTTAAAAGAGAAATATTACATTATCCTCAATAAATAGAAAAGAAAGCAATAATAAGGTAAGAACTCTTAGCAAGCGGAAAATGGAAAGAAACTATCTTATAAGTGTATCTACAAAAATCCTAGAGCAGACATTGCACATAAGGGTGACATATTTGAAAGTTTTCCCTATGTAACAAGAGAAGGATGACAGATACCATCACGTCTATTCAACTTTATACTAGAGGTCCTGGCCATTGGAATAAGGCAAAACAAATAAAAGATATAAAGAAATAAAAATTGGAAAGGTAGAGATTAAGCTTTCATTGTTTGTTGATCATATTATTGTATATATAAAAAATCAAAGAGTGTAGAAATGGATAATCAAAATTAAAAAGAGAGTGTAGCAAGACTGCTGGATTAAAAAATGGGAACAATAATGCACCATTCCTTAGGGATTGTTGTCACACCTTTCTTTCTCTCTTAAAAAAATTATAAGCATCATGGCACAGTGAGCTCTTCCCAGCGACTCCCTACCCAAAATACAATGAAAAGAACATTTATAAACCAACAGAGGACATTCACACAATGAAATAAACGTCTGAGAGACCCACAAAGCCATACATCTGAAGGTGGAGGGACTGGACCCACTGGAAGGAACTAAGGGGATCTCCTCTTGCTCCCCAAATGGCAGCAATCTAGGGCATGGGACTGAGAGTGGCAGGCGGCACAAGACTCTGAGCAGGGTGAGGAAGGGCAGCCTCTGCATGAATGTCTTCACCAAGCAGAGCAGCCCAGGAGAGCAGACAGCAGATGCAGAGCAGGAACGCCCAGGAACAGACACACAAAAGAAAGCACCCCTCCCCTCCTGCCTGAGGCAACAACAGCCAGTGGGCAAACACAGATGGCACTATCAGCACAGGTTCGAAAGACAGACACAGCTGCCAGGGATTGCAGCAGGCTCAGAAGACATAGCTCCTGCCACCCTCCCTGAATGGCAGCAGACACAATCTGAGACCAGATACTACCACTACTCAATGGCACAAGTCCACCATAGCAAATAGCACAAAGAGGTATATTAACACTCCAGACCAGAAGGAAAATCCTGAAGTACCCAGAAATCAATCCTGAAGGCACAAAAACTTAAAATCTAAACAGCAGAGAATTCAAAATAGCTATCATAAAAAAAAAAAAACTCAAGTTACAAGAAAACTCAGACACTTCAATAAAATCAGGAGCAAAATTAATGAATAAAGGGAATTCTTCACAAAAGAGATTGAAACTATAAAGAAAAAGGAATCAGAGATGTTGGAGATGAAAACACAATGGATGAGATTAAAAAAAGACCTGGACTCCCTGAATAACAGAGCTGACATTATGGAGGACAGAATAAGCAATCTGGAGGACAAAAATATAGAAATGCTTCAGATGGAGGAGGAGAGGGAAATGAGACTAAAAAGAAATGAAGAAATTCTCCGAGAAATATCCGACTCAATTAGGAAATGTAACATAAGAATTATAGGTATTGCAGAAGGAGAAGACAGGGAGAAAGGAGATGAGGACTTGTTCAAAGAAATAATAGCTGAGAACTTCCCAAATTTGGGGAAGAAGCTGGAACTATAGGTAAATGAAACTAAGAGAAATCCTAATTACATAAATGTAAAAAGATCGTCTCCAAGGCATATATTAGTAAAACTGGAAAAGTCAATGATGAATAAAATATATTAAGGGCAGCAAGGTAGAAGAAAATAACTTACAAAGGAACCCCTGTTAGCCTTTCAGTGGATTTCTCAGAAGAAACCTTACAGGCTAGGAGAGAGTGGAATAATACACTCAAATTTCTGAAAGAGAAAAACTTTCAGCCAATAACACTCTGTCTAGCAAAAATATTCATCAGATATGATGGAGAAATAAAAATTTTCCCAAATAAACAAAAGCTGAGGGAGTTCATCACCACAAGACCCCCCCTAAAAGAAAGACTCGAGAAGGTCCTTCCTCATATTGAAAAAAAGGAGAAAGGGTTTACAAAGCCTTGAGCAAGGAGATAAACAGACAGACAAAATCAGAAAATTGCAGCTCTCTATCAGAACAAATTAGCAAACATTTACTTACAACACTAAAGAGAAAGGGAAGGAAAACATCAAAAATAACTATAATTACTTTATTTTAACCACCAACTAACAACACAAAAAGGAATAAGTTGTGACAAGTATAACTTAGACAGGGAAGAGGGGAGGGATAGAACCTACTTAGATTAAGGAAATGAGAGGCTATCAGAAAATGGACTATCTCATTTATGATATCTTTTATACAAATCTCATGGTAACTACTAACCAAAAAAATCAGAACACAGACAACAAATGATAAATAAACAGAAAACTGAGAATACCATCACAGAGAACCACCAAACTGCATTGGCAATCAGAAATACCTGGGAGAAGAAACAAGGGAAATACAGAAAAACTGGAAAACAAGTGATAAAATGGCACTATTAAGCCCTCATATATCAATAATTAGCTGAAATGTAAATGGACTGAATTCTCCAATCAAAAGACACAAAGTGGCAAGATGGATTAAAATATAAGACCCAACAATATACTGCCTCCAGGAAACACATCTCAGCTCTAAAGACAAACACAGGCTCAGAGTGAAGGGATCAAAGATGGTACTCCAAGCCAACGACAAACAAAAGAAAGCAGGTGTTGCCATACTTACACTAGACCAACTAGACTTCAAGATAAAACAGGCAATGAGAGACTAAGAAAGGCAGTATATAATGATAAAAGGGACACTCCACCAAGAGGATATAACACTTATAAATATAAATGCACCTAACTCAGGTGCACCAAAGTACATAAAGCAACTATTAACAGACCTAAAAGGAGAAATTAGCAGCAACACAATAATAGTAGGGGATCTGAACATCCCACTTACATCAATGGATAGATCATCCAGACAGAAAGTCAACAAGGAAACAGTGGAATTAAATGAAAAACTGGACCAGATGGACTTAATAGATATACATAGAATATTCCATCAAAAGTCAGAAGAATACACATTCTTCTCAAGTACATACAGAACATTCTCAAAGACAGACCATATGTTGGGGAAAAAAGGCAAGCCTCAATAAATTTAACAAGAGTGAAATCATATCAAGCATCTTTTCTGACCATAATGCTATGAAATTAGAAATCAACTACAAAAAAGAAGCTGGGAAAGTCGTAAGTATGTGGAGACTAAATAACAAGCCACTGAACAACCAATGAATCATTGAAGAAAGTAAAGGAGAAATAAATAATATCTGGAGACAAATAGAAATGAAAATATACCATACAAACTCCTATGGGATGCAGCAAAAGCAATCCTAAGAGGGAAATTCATAGCAATACTTGCCCACCTTAACAAACAAGAAAAATCTCAAATAAGCAATCTTAAACCACACCTAACAGAATTAGAAAAACAAACAAAGCCCAAAGTCAGCAGAAGGAGGAAAATAAAAACTAGACCAGAAATACATGAAATTGAAACCAAAAGTACAGTAAAAAGGGTCAATGAAACTAAGAGATGGTTCTTTGAGAAGATAAACAAAATTGACAATCCCTTAGCCAGACTCACTAAGAAAAAGAGAAAAGGTACAAATAAATAAAGTTAAAAATGAAAGATGAAAAATTACAATGGATACCACAGAAATACAAAGTATTATAAGAGAACAGTAAGAAAAATTATATGCCAACAAATTGGACAATCTAGAATAAATGGATGAATTCTTAGACTCATACTACCTTCCAAAATTGAAACAAGAAGAAATAGAGAATCTGAATAGACCAAACACAAGGAAAGAGATTGAAACAGTAACCAAAAACTCCCACAAATAAAAGTCCAGGACCAGATAGCTTCTCTGAAGAATTCTACAAAACACTCAAAGAAGATTTAATACCTATCCTTCTCAAACTCTTCCAAAAAATTGACAAAGATGGAACACTTCCTAACACATTCTATGAGGCCAACGTCACCCTGATCCCAAAGCCAGACAAGGACAAGACAAAGCAGGAAAATTACAGGTCAATATCACTGATGAACACAGATGCAAAAATCCTCAACAAAATACTGGCAACCCAAATACAGCAATACATTAAAAAGATCATATACCATGATCAAGTAGGATTTATACTAGGCATGCAGGGATGGTTCAACATCCACAAAGCAACCAACGTGATACATCACATTAACAAAATGAGGAATAAAAACCACATGATAATATCAATAGATGCAGAGAAAGCATTTGACAAGGTCCAACATCCATTTATGATAAAAACTCTCAATAAAATGGGTACAGAAGTACCTCAACATAATAAAGGCCATATATGACAAACCTACAGCCAAAATCATACTCAATGGGGAAAAACTGAAAGCCATCCCTCCAAGAGCAGGAACAAGTCAAGGGTGCCCACTCTCACCACTCTTATTTCAACATAGTACTGGAGGTTTCGGCCAGAGCGATTAGGCAAGAAAAAGAAATAAAAGGTATCAAAAAGGCAATGAAGAAGTGAAACTCTCAGAATTTGCAGAAGACATAATTTTATATAGAGAAAATCTGAAAGAACTCTTTGGAAAACTATTAGAAATAATCAACAACTA